GGTCAAGTTCTGTTTTGGGTATGACCGAGCAATTTTTGACAGAGTTATGCCCCTTAGACTCAGAAAAATTCCAATTCTTTGCTCTCTGTTCATTATCTCTACAAAGGTTTAACAAATTAATCATTGATATATCTCATTATCTCTACAAAGGTTTAACAAATTAATCATTGATATATCATGAGAAACGTGTTTTTGCCTAAGATGTGATGTAGAAGACTATTTCTGGTTGATGCATCTCAGATAGTACCGTTAACTCTTTTCCCCCTGTTGCCACCATTTGACGCACTTGCCATTTCCCTAGAGTGTTTGTCTGGCTGCCCCCTGAACCATTTTGGCTGATTAGAAATGACTGACCATTACATTTAGAACATGCTAATTACATGTAAGTACTTAAATATCATTAAAGTGTCACATATTATATATCAATGTTTCGGGAATGGATTAAACTTTAACATGGTCACATAATTTTGTAAAAATTATTCATCTACAATTAACAATATAGGTGAAACCAGGTGAAATAAATTTTTCACAATTAATCTTGATATCATCACTTTGAAAGAAAATTTTTCTAAAGCATTTTTCTTAAAATATAACTGTAAACATAGCATAATATCCTATCATTTAAAAGGTTCATTAGATTTTTTTTTTGAATGTTTAGTATTATCATGATAGTTCACTTAAGGTAGGTAATTAACTAGACTAGGTAGATCCTGCTAAACTTTGCGATCTTGTTTAGGCAGACAATGTTTAGATATTTATTTTGCTGACCATTTCTTGCAGAAATCTCTTGGGGGAAATAAATTTATACTTAAAGCAATGTTCAGATGTAAAATTTTGCTGATTGTTGAATTTAGCACTTGTAAAACACATGGGAAAGTTGTGGCCGCCATTGTTGTTATTGTGTAAGATTCTCCGAAGTTTTGCCTTCTAATTTTCATTGTAAATTTTTATTTCTGCTAAATTAATCTTTAGAAATGATGTAAACATTGTGAATGCTAATAAAACCCAAGGAATGTTTCATAATATGCAATATAAGGCCGAACTTTGCTTGTAACAAGGCCTAATTTTTCTTGTAAACAGACAGGACGCCATTTTTTTTAAAGACAGGTAAATCTCACGTGAATTCACATCAGATGTGACTTCACTAAATATAGTAACATTACCTAATGTTTAATACACATGATTGGATGTTATTTAGAGCTGAATTTATTTTAGAAATAGGGGAAATTACAGAGCTATTTAGGGTTGTTTTATGCATGCGTCAAAAGTCGTCAACAGGGAAATGGGGCATAGCGTCAAATGGTGGCATCAGGGGGTAAAGGATGTACTGCTTCAGGGGGAAAAGAGTTAAATGACCTATTGATTTTAAGTTCAAAAGGTCAATTTCATTTCCACGTACATGCACTGCCCATAATAAAGGCACCCTATAATGTATGTCCAAGGGGGTGGGGAGGGGGGGGGGAGGCATAAGTGTTTCATAAACATCTCTTGTATTTATAATATTGATATCCCATCATAATAAAACAAAAAATTGAAAATGTATAAATCTTGTGACATTTTGTATAAATATTTTTTTAACGTTTCAAATATTTTTGTTTTCAGATGTTTCTAACATAGTATTGTTAAAAGATTTTCTTTCTTGAAATGTTACATGTACAACCTATTTAAAGTATAATTTGTAAAATGTTTAAAATCAATTCCATGAAATGTATCTTAGAAATATTACCCTGATCTTTTTAAAAACATTTTTAAAATGTTGTGAGCCAGAAAATGTTTTTAAACATCTTCAGTTTGGTTTTTTTTCTCAAATATCTAGAATAACTTTTTTTATCAACTACAGTTAAGATGTATTGTGCTTCCAGTAATACAGTAAATACTTTTTCTTTTTTTTAAAAATATTTTGAAGTAATTTTGTATATGGAATTTAGGTATTAACCAGCTGAAATGAACTTTGGTATAGTAATTGGTGAAAATTTGGGAATAATTTTGGTCAGGTAATTAATAAAATATTATAAAAGTTTGCTTTTTTTCTGAGACAACCCTCTTATATTTTTTTTACATTGTATTCATACTCCTCTTATGTCAGTCAGACTTAAGTTTTGAGAACCGATGACAATTATCAAATCGGGATTAAATTAAGGAATCACTGTCAGTTAGTAGAGTATGCCAAGGCATCAACGATAGTTGGAAACTTGGGATAATTTATGCATAACGGGTAAAGCCCGTTATGCATAAATTATCCCACATTTCCAACTATCATTGAAGCCCGTTATGCATAAATTATCCCATATTTCCAACTATCGTTGAAGCCCGTTATGCATAAATTATCCCATATTTCCAACTATCGTTGATGTTCCTAGCATACTCTACTAACTAGACAGTGATACCTTATATTTCCATTTCATTGTGAAATAAAATTGTAAATTTAGTTTTTAAAAATGTAGACTAATAGATTTAAATTACATGAGGCCTCACATGTCAAATTCAGTAGTCCCCGCCCACTGACGTCAAACACAAGGACAGCCGCATGAGAATTACATGCATATAAGGCCTCCTTAGTGTCAGACACAAAGACAGCTGCACGAGAATTACATGCATATTAGGCCTTCTTAGCTCCTGGCCTTTCGCTTGGCGAAATTTACATTCCGGTAGAATGATCAAGAAATCAACTCAACTAACTTTCAAAGAGTTATCACAGAGAAAACAAATAGAAATGGAAATATATGCATTTAACTTTATTATTTTCTCTTACAAATGAAAATTATCAGAAATATTCGTTTGATAAAGCTCCACATACATGAATTTCTTTACTCTAAAATTTAAGAATTGTCCTTGATAATTTTATGTTGAACTTCGTGTATTTGATTAAAATATTGACTCTCCTTGCCTCGCCATCCACATTTCAACACAGAGGATATATGCAAACAATATACCTGATATGAAATTTGATAATGCTGATTTTAAACATTTCAATCAGTATTTTTTAATCTAAAAACTTTATTTGAAGAAAAGAAGTTGCCTGATTATTGAGCATTCAAATTCTTCAAGCGACTTCCATGGACATTAGTTTTGACCAATTACATACACACTTTCAACTTTTTTTAATGTCGACATTATTTTAAAGTGTTATAGGCCTAGTAAAATTCTTATACATCATACTAAACAGGTAATTAAACAATATGAATTCATGTCTCAAACAAATTTATTTTAAGTCCTGAAACGTGTTAATCCAAGTCCCGAAACGTGTTAGCCCAAATCCTGAAACCTGTTGTTAGGTCCCGAAACATCCCGCTCCAGAAACATCCATATAATTCATTTCAAACTAGTTAGTGATATCACAGTACAGCAAGATCATTAGATTTCAGTCTATATTCAGTTAATATTATTTAGGCTGGATAAGTTTCCCATCAATTTATATTAACATTATCTATGGAAAACAAAAGTATTTGAGTGTTAAGGAAAAGAACAATTATATTTATCATCTTGTTTCATTTGTTTTAACTCTGAACAGACAGACATGGAATATGGGAGTCCTTAACCTAGCTTCCCCTCCAAGTTGTGGAAAGGAGCAGCTACAACCAGACAGGAATTGGTGGAAACAACTGGAAATGCCAAGACTGATGGATGTTGACATGCCAGGATGTGGAAAGGAGCAGCTACAACCAGACAGGAATTGGTGGACACAACTGGAAATGCCAAGACTGATGGATGTTGACACGCCAGGATGTGGAAAGGAGCAGCTACAACCAGACAGGAATTGGTGGAAACAACTGGAAATGCCAAGACTGATGGATGTTGACATGCCAGGATGTGGAAAGGAGCAGCTACAACCAGACAGGAATTGGTGGAAACAACTGGAAATGCCAAGACTGATGGATGTTGACATGCCAGGATGTGGAAAGGAGCAGCTACAACCAGACAGGAATTGGTGGAAACAACTGGAAATGCCAAGACTGATGGATGTTGACATGCCAGGATGTGGAAAGGAGCAGCTACAACCAGACAGGAATTGGTGGAAACAACTGGAAATGCCAAGACTGATGGATGTTGACACGCCAGGATGTGGAAAGGAGCAGCTACAACCAGACAGGAATTGGTGGAAACAACTGGAAATGCCAAGACTGATGGATGTTGACATGCCAGGATGTGGAAAGGAGCAGCTACAACCAGACAGGAATTGGTGGAAACAACTGGAAATGCCAAGACTGATGGATGTTGACATGCCAGGATGTGGAAAGGAGCAGCTACAACCAGACAGGAATTGGTGGAAACAACTGGAAATGCCAAGACTGATGGATGTTGACATGCCAGGATGTGGAAAGGAGCAGCTACAACCAGACAGGAATTGGTGGAAGCAACTGGAAATGCCAATGCTGATGGATGTTGACATGCCAGGATGTGGAAAGGAGCAGCTACAGCCAGACAGGAATTGGTGGAAACAACTGGAAATGCCAATGCTGATGGATGTTGACATGCCAGGATGTGGAAAGGAGCAGCTACAACCAGACAGGAATTGGTGGAAATAAGTGGAAAAGACAAGACAAATGGATGTTGACCCTCCAGGATGTGGAAAGGAGCAGCTACAGCCTAACAGGAATTAGTGAAAATAATTGGAAAAGACAAAACTGATGGACATTGACCCTCCAGGATGTGGAAAGGAGCAGCTACAGCCAGACAGGAATTGGTGGAATCATCTGGAAAATGCAACACTGATGGACCCTAACCCTGCAAGATGTGGAAATCAAGAGCTACAGCCAGACAGGAACTGGTGGAAACAAGTGGAAAAGACGAGACTGATGGATGTTGACTTTCCCAACAGCAAGAAATAACACAATGGATAACTGTCACTGATCAGGTGTGTAATATAATCAATGATCCAAGACAAACAGCAAAATATTAAAAGAATATATATAATAATTTACTTAGATATGTTTGTTCTTTTCATAATTTCTGTTTTATACTGAAAGTAGCTTAATTATATTAACTTCTATTTAATATAGTGTGCTTTGATGATTTGGTGACAGTACCCAGTAGGAGACTCAGATGAAAATGGTGTGCTTGACATTATGATGAGGATCCCTCAGGTATGTGAAAGTTACCCTTAGTATGCCATTCTCTGTGACTCGTTACCTTTAGTATACCATTCTCTATGACTCTTGGTTCCTCATTTTTACTCCGTTGGACCTAATTATTACCTTTTGTTTGTTCTTTTACAGAAACTAAAGGAGTATCAATTACCCCTTTTACCTTTTCCCTGAAAAGTGGTTAAAAGATTAGACACTTGCATCTGATAAGCTGAAAAAGGAGACTTTAAAAAATAGTGTTGGTGAAGTTCTTCAACAATGTGGAAATGAGCATCTACAGCAAGACAGGAATTGGTTGAATCATCTGGAAAATGCAATGCTGAAAGATATTTACTCTCTAGGATGTGGAAATGAGCATCTACAGCAAGACAGGAATTGGTTGAATCATCTGGAAAATGCAACACTGATGGACCTTAACCCTCCAAGATATTAAAATAAAGAGCTACAGCCAGACAGGAATTGGTGGAAAAACGTGGAAAAGGCAAGACTGATAGACATTGACCTTTCACAATGTGATAGTGAGCAGCCACAGCCAGACAGGAAATGGTGGACAAACCTGGAAAAAGCAAGACTGATGAATGTTGACCTTCCATAATGTGGAAATGAACAGATACAGCCAGACAGGAATTGGTGGAAGCAACTGGAAATGCCAAGACGAATGGATGTTGACCCTTCAAGATGTGGAAAGGAGCAGCTACAGCTACAGCCCGACAGAAATTGGTGGAATCATCTGGAAAATGCAATGCTGATGGACCTTAACCCTCCAAGATATTGAAATAAAGAGCTATAGCCAGACAGGAAGTGGTGGAAACAACCGGAAAAGACAAGACTGATGGATGTTAACTTTCCCAATAGCAAGACTTATCACTGTGGACAACTGTCACTGATCAGGTGTGTGACATAATCATTAATCCAGCATCTTTTTTTTGAAAAAGTACAGTAAAGAAAAAATATTTTAGGTCCATATAATATTTTGCTAAGATATGTCTGTTCTTTTCTTAATTTCTGTCTTATACTATTATAGATGCTGAAGTATTAACTTTTATTTTATAGCGTGCTTTGATGATTTGGTGACAGTACCCTGTAGGAGACTCAGATAAAGTCATGTGGATGTGCTTGACATTATGAATGACAAGGTCAGCCCTCAGGTATGGGAATAAGTTACCCAAGTATTCCATTCTGTAAGAATCTGTTCTTCATTTTTACTTTGTCGGTCCTAATGGTTTAATACCTTTTTTCTCATTCATTGACAGAAAATAAAAGTATTGAAGAGACAAATCCTTGTGATCATGTTTGGAGAAAGACAAAGAAAGATGACAATGCAGAAAGCCAGTGAAGCACACACAGCACATCCAGTTTTTATCCAAAACAAATCTTTTTGAAACATTTGTTTTGGAAATGGGTGTCTGAGTTGTAAGAGGGTATGGGGTCGCCCACTCAGACACGTGGGTTTTCTCCGGGTGCTCCGGTTTCCTCCCACACTGACCCCATTCTTTTTCTCTATCAAATGTCAATGAGATAATTATGTATCTTTGAAAATATTTTAATTTAAATATTTTTTATTATTTGTTGTTTTGCTATAATTTTGATTAGTCTGTACAAATTCACTCAAGCTATTGCAATAAGATGGTTAATGGTGACTAAGAATGTATTGTATTATTGAATGTAAATCAGCAATTATTATTGATGTGACTAGTTCTGTGGTGAAAGTACATGTTAATGTTTATTGTTTATATTATTAAATGGAAATTTGTGACAGTGAATGGTGAATTTTGATGAGTTAATGGAGTGAAAATACATGTAAATGTTAATTGTTCGTATTGGTAAATGTTAAATTGTGACAGTGAATGGTGAATTGTGAATAGTTATGCAGGGAAAGTACATGTAAATGTTAATTGTATGAGTAGTAAATGTTAAACTGTCACAGTGAATGATAAATTGTGACTTAAGTTATACAGTGAAAGTACATGTACCGTAAATGTTAAATTAGTAGTAAATGTTAAATGGTGACAGTGAATGGCGAATTGTGACTATGGATATGCAGTGAAATTATATTTTAATTGTATTAGTAAATGTTAAATTATGACAGTAAATGGCGAATTGTTAAGTTATGCAGGGAAAGATAAATGTCAATTGTATTAGTCAATGCTGAATTGTGACAGTGAATGGTGAATTGTGACTAGTTATGCAGTGAAATTACATGTTAATGTTAATTGTATTAGTAAATGTTAAACTGAGACAGTGAATGAATAATTTTGAATATATGTATATATATAGTGCATTGTTAAATTTTCTGATATCATTGGCCAAAGTTTTGTGCAGAGTTAAAAAAAATCACCAAAACAAAACAAACAAACAAACAAAAAAAAAACAAAAGAAAAAAAGGAAGAAAATATGAAAAAAAAGAAAAGCAAAAAAAGAAAGGAAAAAGAAGAAAGAAAAAAAAGCCACAAAAAAAAAAAGGAAAAAAAAAGGCAAAACAACAGAAAAAAGCACAAAACTTTTAATGCTGCCTGCTTGAAAAAAAAACATTGCTTTCATTTTTGCATTTTTTTTTTTCAAGCAGAAGGTTCCAAGCCCTTATTAAAAAGCAGAGGAGAAGTTTTTTTGTGTTATTAGGTGAAATCTGAGTCGCTAATGTGACCTTTGCTATCTGTTTTCATCTGGTGGTTGTAAATTGACATTTAAGGGGGCCGACTGGGGTTTTCATTGCGCAATACTTCGCGCAGCATAGTAAAATAAAGCGTATTTTCTCTTTTAAAGCAACTATTTTTACATAATTTACAAAAATTAGCAAATTTAGAAAATCTCAGGTTAAAAAATCTAATTACGTTTTAAAATAAATGATTTTTTAAAAGATTTTTCATACGATGGGTAGATAGATGTCGTAATAGTGTGTTTTTGACGTTATGAATAACCGAAGTTCTTTAAGAGGTGTCATTGATTATGCCATAAAATAAAAAGTATATAATACATGCTCTTGAAATTTTAAACATAGGAAATTGAGAATCTAACAATCATTTTTATAATTTTTTTATGTAAATCTGTGGTATCTGTCATGTTCTGTTGTACTCCATAAAAACAGGAAAATATCATGAATTTTGATATTTTGAGATGCCCCCTCTGGAAACCAGACGGTAGAATATTTTGTTTCTTGCACAAAATGTACAATATAGTATTACCCATCAAATAATATAATTTGAGCAAAAAGTTTATAGTAGCATTTGTATAATTTGTTCCGAAGTGCAAAAAAATGGTATTTTCCTATATTATCCTATAGTAAATATACCTGTATTTTGAGATGGTCCCTAAAAAATAACCAGACGGTAGATTTTCAATAAACTTGGCATGTATACTGAAGTCGATGTAAAGTACATATTCTATAAAATTAAAGAGTTTCTCTATAGTAGTTTTCACACAATAAAACCCCAGTCGGCTCCCTTAAACATTTTCAGCTTCCTCTCTGGAACCAACTGCAACCAATTTTGCCATATAGCATCTATGGGGTGAATGGGAACAAAATTTTATAATTCATGGCATCTGCCAGTTGGCCCAATATGGTGGAGCTCAATTCATCGATCATATATTGCATAAATTCTCAAAAAAGCTTCTGTTAGCGGAGAAACTTTGTGCATGGTTAAGATGAGCTAGGATTCCTTTTCCAAAATTGTGAAATTTGGGACTGGGCACTGGTATTGTTAGGCCAGGGTATTATTGATCCTATAGTGAAAATCGCATTATTTCTTCAAAAAATTTTTTGTATTAAGTGAACAAAGTAAGTTATTGATTTTGATGAGGAAAGGTGCCTCTTCCAAAGTTGTGAATATCATGGTCTTTGGGTCAGGGGTTCTGGTGTTTAGGGCTGAATCAGGGGATATAATGTATAGTTGGGACTCTGTCGATTATAAAGTGAAAATGCCTTTATATTTTGAAAGTTGTTTCTGCTCCAGGGCATTTATGAGGCAAACGGAATACAAAGTTGTAATGAGCAAGGTTTGTAATATGCCTCGTCATAAATATGGCCGGGGCATATAGAGTTTGTCATGTCCTACTTCTATCCTTTTGTCCTTTTGGTGCGCTTTGCACTTAGCTCAGTTCAAAACTCTGCACTTAGCTCAGTGTAAAAATTATGTTTAGGAAATAGACACTTCTATCACATGTTTAGATCTAAACGTGTATAGTATTGTGTTTAACAACTAAACACTTATGTCTTAACATGTTTTATATCTAAACGCGTTTAGAAATTAAACACGTTTTACTGTAAAGTGCAGAGTTATCTTCCTGGAAATGACACACATATATTTGAACGTTAATTTGAGCAGCTATTTAAACAAAGAAAACACAACAAACTAAGGTGATGTATCAACGAGAGTTATGACAACCCAGTTCAAGGAATAACCATGACGAAATAGTGAAATACGTGAAAGGGCATCATGATACTGCAATACATTAAAGGTTTTCTTTTTCTTTGCATTAATTAACCATGATGAGCAACGTAAAAAAGCTGACTTGGGATATCTTGGATTCGTTATCCTCGTGCATTAGAAATGGATTACTTTCTGGCAGTTATTGATGGCATATAGATTATAATATGGTGCTTTGGGACTTGCTGAAAGTTAAAACAAAATTTGATATTTTCGTGATTGACAAGAGGAAAACTCTGCAGCCGATTCAAATTATAATGATTATTATAAATATATACATAAATATACATTTTGTATTTTTAAAATAAAAATTCTTTAATAAAGCCTTTTAGAAATATTCAATGAAGTTTTGATATTAAATTGTCAGCTTAATATTTTTTTCTTAATGATTTTGAAGATTAAAAGTTTGTTATCTATGTGTACATTATAAATTATGTGTCATTCTGATTGAATTGTTGAGACTAATCAAATCTATTCGTGAAAGTGTCACAAAATCATTTTCTGTCTTATAATAAATGTATATAACCAAACTGTATATTACTAAAGTATGTTACAATTTAACATTATATATTACATGTGTTTATGTTACAAAGCCACACAACCTTCTTTTGATGTTTGTTATATTTACTCAATGCTATAAGATGTATGTCTTGGGCAATAAAGATTACATATTTAGTTCTATCTCCTACATTATTTGTGTAAATTAAGTATGTGTACATTGCACAGTGTCCATTGTATTGTATAATTAAATACATATCCCAACGTTCAGTGGCTATATGGAAAATAATTAATATTGGCTACATGTTTTGAAAATTTTGACAATTATGCACATTGAAAAAAACATATACTTTTTGTGTCTAAATTTTATACAAGAGTGTTTTGTTTTTCTGCAGGTACAAATTATACTTATGGTGTGTTTAGATTTTAAACACTTCTGCTCTTATGTGTTTAGAATTTAAACACTTGTGTTTATGTGTTTAGATATGTTTAATTTCTAAGCACACAAGTGTTTAAATTCTAAACACTTTCTAAGACATGTTTAGGAATTTTAAATGTTTAGGAATTAAACATATAAAAAAGGAGGTGACAACAAAGTGTTTAGAAAGTGTTTGAATTATAAACACATTTTTTACAGTGTATTCAAGATATTTTTGTCAAACATCATATGTTGATACATGTACATATTGATGAGAGCTATTCAACTGCATTATTTTTTTTACCTTGACCTTTCCTTTGACCTTAACTTTACTTTTCTTAATTAGTGTTTAGCTCAGTTTTAAATAAATCATTCAAGATATTTTTATCAAAGCTAATACGCTGATACATATTAGTGAGAGCTATTCAACTGCATCAACATTTTTTTTTACTTCAACCTATTCTTTTACCTTAACCTCACTTTTAAATAAGTGTTTAGCTCAGCTCTTAAGAAACCATTCATGATATTTTTATCATACTTCATATATATATATTATCTACTGATGTAAGCTTTTCAACTGCATCAACATTTTGACTTTGACCTTTCCTGTGACCTTGACCTTGTTTTCTTAAATTTGCATTTCGCTATGTTTTGAGGAAACCAATAAAGATATTTTTATGTAAGCTTATGCACTTATACACATTTGGTGAGAATTTAACATCTATATCCAATTTATTAGTCCCCTACCGGTGAAACTGGAGGGGACTATAGGTTTCCTCTGAGTCTGTCCATCCATCTGTCTGTCTGTCTGTCCCTCTGTCTGTCTGTCAGTCTGTCCCACTTGGTTTTCTGCACTTTTTTCCTAAACGCTTGCAGATATTGAGCTGATTTTTGGTTTGTGAGTGTATCTTGACGAGTTACAGATCAAGTTTGCTTTTCGTTCCGCTTCATTGATTTTTGACGGAATTACGGCCTTTTCAATTTTTACGGGTTTTCCGCAATTTTCTGCTAAACGCTTGTAGATATTGAGCTGATTTTTGGTATGTGGCTTTACCTTGATTAGTTATAGATCAAGTTTGCATTTCGTCCCGCTTCATAAATTTTTGACGGAATTATGGCATTTTCAATTCTTAACGGGAACCAAATTACACTTGCCAGTAGGGGACTAGTATTGCTAATGCAATACTCTCAGAATGCTTGTTAGATTTCAGTTTTAAAGAAACTATTCAAGATACCAGTATTCTCATCAAACTT